AGGAGGCTGATGAAGTGATGTTAACAAAAACTGATCTGGCTGAATTGGGGTCACAGATACCAGGCTTGGAGGAAGAGCCATGCACACTCAGCAAATGAAGGTGTGTCAGTGACATGGAGTGCCTCTCTTAGTCAAGGCTTCTCTTTGGAGAAAGATCAAGAACACTTCAGAACTATTTATCTTCTGTCAAGTAAAAGATAAGAACAGAGCTATGATCCTAGAGGATAAGTGCATCCTGGACATTCCTGAAAGACCTGACTTTGACCCCCATGTTACAAAGCATCACCTTTTTTTCATCCTTTAACTGAAAGTTCATTCATGGCTATCTCTGCTCTGTGGGAGAGTTTTAGAGCCTTCAAGTCCTCACACAGCCCTCTAAAATCAAGGCCCTGTCTCGTAGAACATAATGTCCAGCCATCTCAGCTTACTGCACATGGCGTATGAGATTCATAACCTCCATGTTCACGATGAACTATGTACTGAGAACATTTGATGCTGTCTTTTGTATTTTAAGTTTTTCTTCATTTTTCCTTTTTTTTTTTTAAATTTTAAACAGGGTTTCTCTATTATGTAGCTCTGGCTTTCGGGAACTGTCTATGTGGACTGGCCTTGAGCTCACAGAGATCCACCTGCCTCAGCCTCTTGAGTGCTGGGATTATGTGTGTGTGCCACTGTGCCTGGCTTCCTTTTGTTTTTGGATGTGCTAATTATATTTTTCTCTGTAGACATGTACAGTGTGAGAAGGTGATCACAATGCCTTTATAGTTCTTCACTTGTAGCTCATGACGTAAGAATGGCTTTTCCTTGTGGTTATCTGTGATTTTCATATTGCTGGGATATTTAAGTAAATGCCATATGAATGTAACTAAGACAGTATTAATGTCCAATATTCACACAACCAGAAATGTTGACATCAATGTTAAATAAATATGTAGCTACCAATCAGATAACAAGATTAAAACCATATGATGTCGGTTTGCTCATCTGTCAACATTCACGTGTTATCAGTACAATGTTACAGACTCCAACTCAGGTCACCTTGCGCAATTCAGCATGTCAATCATGGCACAGTGAAGGATGGGAGTCAGAGCCAATGCTGTAAAGGAGAGGATGTGCTGTAGTTCAGTTGGGTGTACTTCAGATTCCAGAGACCTAAGGAGAGCAGACAGGAGAATGCAGACAGGGGATGTTCTCTGTGACTGAAGCTCCCTGCAGGCAGAGCCTCTGCCCAAGAGAGATTGAACAGAGGACAGGGAGAGGAAAGTCCTGACATTCCAGTGTCCCATCAGCTTAAAATAAGAGGAAGAAACAAGATGTGTCAGGGCTAATCCTGACCTCAGGTGGAAAATGTACAAAAGGGTGCGTGGTGTGAAGGCCATAGGAACTGGCAATGAGAGAGAAAGTTCACATGAACTTTAAAGAGGAGGTTGCCTGCCTGACTTCTCCCTCTCCCTCTTACATGATAGGCCTAGAGAAGTGTCTGCACCTCTATCCCTGCCAGGCAAAGGCAGAGCCACCCCTTGGGGGACTTGGGAAAAGTCAGTGGTCCCTGCCCAACTCTATGTTCATAATCTGTCTCCTTTAATTCTGCAGGTGTTGAAGAGCCATGGACAAGAATACCTTGTTGGCAACAGGCTGACCAGGGTGGACATTCACCTGCTGGAACTTCTCCTCTATATTGAAGAACTTGACTCCAGTCTTCTGGCCCCTTTCCCCCTGCTGAAGGTGAGATCACCTCAGAGAGGCAGCCGCACACACATGCCGCTGAGAGTATAATGGTGGCCTGTGGTCTTCGTAGGGCCCATCCTCGGGCCTCCAAACTGAGCTTCTAGACCCTGGGTTCAGGCATGAAAATTGTCTTTTGAGTATGAAGACTGGAGGCTGGTACCCCAGAAAGAATATTTTGCCTTTTGTCATGAGAAAGATGCAAGAGTTTCCCTGGACCCCTGTTTTTTGGAGGATGCTTCGGGCATTCATCTTCAATTCATGTGTCCTGTCTTTGCATACTTTTTGTCTGAGCAGGTCTCTGTCATGCTGATCCCCTTCCTCAGCTCTGACTTCTCAACACTGTGCTTCCCTCTCCACAGCCCCCACCATGCTGTCCTCCACCCCTAGGGACCCCATCCTTATCTCCAGGTGTGAAAACTGGCTGTGAGTTGCTCCTGGTTAGACTTTGAGATTTTCTGTGTCCATTTCCAACTCCGTTTTTTCAAGCCTTCAGGTTTCTTTGGTAGTCTCTGCTTTCACACCTGAGAGACACAGTGCTCTGTGCTCTGCACCACAAAACCAGACCATAGGGTGTGTCAGGGACCTGAGGAGAAGGTAAGTGGATGTCAAAGGAGGTCTTTAGGAACATTATGCTGAGCTATGGTTTCAGCTCATGGTTTTATCATTCTACTCATGTCTACACTGGAGCTTTGTAAGGATGCAGTTGGTCATGTTCTGGGAGGGCCCCAGAGTTTTTTGGATTGTCCACATAAGCCATTCTGACTCTCAGGCTATGTTTTCTGGATTACAGGCCCTGAAGAGCAGACTCAGCAGCCTGCCCAATGTGAAGAAGTTCCTACAGCCTGGCAGCCAGAGAAAGCCTCCCATTGATGCAAAACAACTCGAAGAGGCGAAGAAGATTTTCAATACTAAGTAAAGCTGCATTGAGAGAGCCCACAGACACCAGTCTCTGGGGTTTTTAAATAATAAACAGCAATTGTTCATCCTGGTATTTGAGAAAATGAACATGAACAAGGGATATATGTATGGAATGTGTTCAACTTGTTGACCTGGGATTGCAGGATCACATTCCAAGAAGGCAAATAATAGTCATTACAAATAAGAGCAAAGCTTGTAAAAATAAGGAAAAACTAAGTAAAAAGGACACTAACAAGAGAAAAGAAGTGACTAAAATATTTGTAGAATTAGCCAAAAAAATAAAGGTAACATTAATTACAAGAGAAAGAAATAAAAATGAAAAAAATAGAATAAAAAATAAAGAAAAAAATTGAGGTCTAAAAAAAAGAGTGCAATTAGGGGAGAAGGAATTGGATAACTAGTGTAAAGATATTTTAAAGAAAGAAAAAACACCAGAGACAACAAAATTAAATATTTAAAATAGTGAGGGCAAATCTGGAGAGCAGGCTCACAAGTGACATGCACTGGTTTTTCTTGGAGAGGACCAGGTTAGGTGCCCAGCATCTCCATGACATCTCACAACCATGTGTAACTTCAGCTCCATAGAACCTGATGTCATCTTCAGACCTCTGTGGTCACTGTTCACCTGTGATATACATACATATATTTACTCAAAACACCTCCACATGTAAAATAAAAATTAAAAATACTTTAATAGTAAAAATAGAGAGCAAAATACACATTCAAGCAAAATAACAATAACATAAAATATCTTTGAAAAGTTTCTGTCTTTAGCTGGGTGTGTTGGCACATGCCTTTAATCCCAGCACTTGGGAAGCAGAGCTACATGGATCTTTGTGAAGTCTCAAGGCCATCCTGATCTACATAGTGAGTTCCAGGACAGCTAGAGCTACAGAATAGTGATGCCTGTGTCAAATGAATAAATAAAGGATAAATAAATTCTGTCCTTGCCCCACTGGAATCTGATGATTTCATCTTTTCCTTGTAAACCTCAAATCTCTAGAGCCAGTCCTGTCCTGAATATCTTGTGTTGAGGTCTAGCCTGGTGCGTCTGGCTAAGCCTACTCTCTGCACACCCTCCCCCTTCCTCTGATCCAGCCTGGGCTCCACACCCATTACCCTGCTGAGCTCCACTTACACAGTCGTCAACCTCCAGCCCAGGCCAGGATGCACATCTTACACACAGGTCCAGGTTCTCCCCTCTATGTGGGAGTCACAGAGATCCTTGTGGTCACAGACAAGCACTAGGGGACTAGGAATGCTAAACACATAGGATTGTCCTATCAAAGAGAATGATGTATTAACTCTTTCCCTTCCAGGGGTCTGGGAATGAATAGGGCTAAGAGCCTGGTGACCTTTGAGCAATCTTAGTATCAAAGACTACACTGGATCCTCTACCAGATCTTCATCATGAGCTGTCAATCTATAGAATCCATCTTTATGGAAGATGTAACATGTACCTTATAAAAAATTCTGGTGTAGTCATGTCTTAAGCTTTATTGTGCCTACAGGGTATAGTTTATCAACAGGAATTTTTCAACAAATTTTCTGTGCTTACATAAACTACTCAGAGTCAGACTACCTTCTTCCCTCCCATGGATTGTGTTCTTCTGGCTGTGGTGGTTGCAGAGACTCCCATACCCAAAATCCCACTACAACCTGAATCCATCACTTCTGACTGTACCCAACTCCCCATCCCAGCCATTCCTAAAATCCTGTGCTCTATGCCAGACTGCTGTGGCCACATAAGACACAGAACCAACAAAAGTCTACATACCCAGTTCTCATGGAGAACAATACAAGCAATATGAATGATAAAGGCAGTATCCTTCCCAAGCCAAATCCAGCAGAACTACAACATGCTCTCCAGTGAGAATGAACCCCAGAACACAGATCTGAAAGAGAAATCACAAATTTCACCAAAGGATTCTGAGTGGTTAGAGAAGAAACAAAGAAACAGCTCAATGAAATCAAAGAAGAAAATAAATGCTTGGGTGATGTCCAAGAAAACACAGACATGATGGAAATAATGAAGACAACCCAGGATTTGAAAAACAGATTCAGTAGAAAGATAGAAATATTTAGTAAACTCAAGCTGAGATGAAGGCAGAATTGAAAAACTTAATGATCCAATTAGAAAACTCAGGGGAATGTCTTACATATAGAATGGGTCAAGAAGAAGAAACTGTATCAGTCCTCAAAGATAAAGTAGAGGGGAGAGATCACACAAAAATATGAAATTAAAAATATATAAAGAAACATCCAGGAAATGTGGGACACCATGAACATTCTAATTCTTAATTATAGGCCCAGGTGACAGAGAAGAATCCCAGGTCAATGGCATAGACAAGATTTTCAACAAGATCATAGAAGAGTGGTCCTCAAACTTCCCAGTGCTGTGATCATTTAACACAGTTCCTCATGTTGTGGGGACCCCAAACTCTGATGGACAAATTTTCACAAAAATGGTACTACTTAATTAAAGACACAGAGCAATGACAA